TGCAGATTACAGAGAACGGCGAATTCCGAAACAGCAGCAATTGCTGACCCCGCTGCCAGAGAATGAGATTTTGAGAGAGAGAGAGAGAGAATGAGGGGGAAAGAGAGAGAGAGAGAATGAGAGAGAGGAAAGACCCCGGCCCAGAAAGAGAGAAAGAGAGCGCAAGCACAGCAGCGGCAGGTGGGTTGAACCACATTGTAGGGGTCCTCGGTGCCCCCCTAAACGCCCCCCCAGGGGTGCTAGGAAGACCTATGTCCCACAGTCCTTTTCATCACCAAAGATGGCTCGCATGTCCGGAAACACTGAGGTGCCCCCGACTCCCGTACGTTCAAGGGATGGCATCAAGCGACGGGTGGAGATGAACATTGCCATCCATATCTTCAGCTGTTAAACTGATGACAAGAAACACATCCTACAGAAGAGAATTTCTAGCCAAGGAGGAGGAGGAGGAGACCTTTTATTTTCCTGCTCGAGGAGACGCACCGCGCAAGGCAACCTGAGCCTTGCAGACCCAAGAAGGGATTGAGGGAGAAGGACGCAGGCTCAGAGACAGGTGAACCGGACTACTACGAAAACAAGATGGCAAAACAGGCACCTCCTCTGCAACTCCCATCATCCCCCAGCGCTTGTGGTTTGGCACAGAAGCACCGCCAGGGAGCCCTGCCCTGCCATGCTGCTCCGGGTCATTCTCTCTAACCCCATTCTGCCACCATTCTGCAAGTGATGGGCCAACCTTTCTCTGGCATTCCTTCCATCGGATTTCCTCCTCTCTCACAGCCATAGGTCCTAGATTATCAGATTTCCTTCAGAGGACAGAGGCAACGCTGGGCACTGGGGGGGGGGTCATTCTCCTTGCCTTCTCCTTCTCCCACCTTTGGGGTGCCCCACTCAGTGCCACAAATAATCCTCCCTCCATGGCAAAGGTAGCATTACATGGGAGTTGTGCAACCTTCCAGGTATGTTGGCCCACAACACCCAGCAGCCCCAGCTACTATAGCCCAGTGTGGAGGGGTGCTGGGAGTCCAACAACTTTGGAAGGCTGCATGGTTGCTACCCTCAGGAGCAATGTATCCCAAATTTTGGTCCTCCAGACATTTTGGAGCTGACTGTTGGCCCAACTGGGTATGGTTTCTGGGAGCTGAAGTCCAAAACACCTGGAAGGCCAGAGTTTGGGAACCACTGCTCAGGAGTCTGGCATCACAGAAGATACCTGGTGCTCCAGATTGGGACTTCAGCCCCACCATGTTGGGGAATAGAAGCCACATTGAGCCATATTCTGTGTGTCTCCTGCCCCGCCATTTCTTTGCCCTTGTTCCATGGAACAAGGTGGCTATCATCTGGCCACCTTCTCCAGTAAGTAAGTGTAAGGCCACCTTGTTCCATGGAAATGGAGACACAAACACAAACACACACACACCAAGGCACAGCCTCTTAACAGACAGACCAGTCCTGTGCTGTAAACTATTTTGTACCCCTACCATTGACAGTGGCCTTAATAATACCAAAGGGCACATCTGGCAGCTTCTCTTGAAAAGGGGACATCAGCCTCACTAGGCCACTCTGTCTTTGTGCCCAAAATCAACTGGCAGAAAGGGTCGGGGGAGGCAGACCATTGCAAAGAACAAGGGGCCCTGGGTAGCGATGGGTGAGGAAGGAGCCCCTGAGTTTCCACTTCTAGCACAGAAAACACTAATGCAGAAACTGCTCATAGGAGCCATAGCTTGGTGGCAAAGCCTTGGCTTTGCACTTGGAGGGGACCAGGTCCAATCCCTGGTATCTCTCATATTTAAAAGACCAGGGAGCAGAAAGGAAGCAACAACTTGGCTAGGCTAAACCCCCGGATTTGGTACTTCTGTCAAAGAGGACAGACATTCAGAAAGGTTGGTCAAGAGACGCACAGCTGAAACACAGCTTCTTGTGTTACTGCTTGAGTTGCAAAGTGCTACACTAACTGGATAAAATAAATCAGAAGCACAAGCATGCACTCACAGGTGTGCAAAGTCCCAGTGCAATAGAAGTCGGGGGGGTGTAGACACTATTAACTCCTTGGTCTGGTCTTTATGTGGGCTTGGCATCGTTGGATATCCCCTCCCGCCTTGGTCCCCTATAGAGTTTTGCCACAAAAGAACGGGGCACGATGCCATCTGGCACTGAGTGACCAGCATCCTGGGCCAATCGGTCCAAATTGTTCAGTGGGGGGACTTAACCCTAGCCATGCCCCCCCAACCCCAACCCAAATAAACAGACACACTTTTCCCATTGGTTCTCAGAAGGGCTGTTTTGAGGGAAACACACCGTCTTGAGTGGTATTGCTGCTAAACTAGGAGGAGAGAGGAAGCGGGGGGAAAAGGAAAAGAAAAACTTTTTTGGCCTACCCAAGAAGCATGAAGATCGGTAACGCCTATCTCTTTTCTTTCACAGTATGCGTTAGGAATAAAAACAGTCAAAAATCAAAAGCAGTCCACTTTCTGGAGTACTATCCTCTTTTAAGGGGGAGTGGGTGCTGCGTGGGAAGTTAACCGGCTCGAAGGCCTCAAAAGGGACTAACCAGCAAGGACCGCAGCCTCCGAAAAGTGTCTCCCCTTTTCAGACTCGCTGGGCAGCCGTAAGCCACCATTAGCCGCTCCGAAGGGAGCCTTCCTCCTCCTCCTCCTCCTCCTCCCAATGTCCTGGCTAGCTGAGGGTCAGCGGCATGGCAGGGTGTGCTGCGCTACTAACCTCCAAACCGCTTGCGGGTGGATTGTGTGTGTGTGTGTCTCGGTGAATGCCCGTCCTCCTCCATGCCAAGTCCAGGTATGTTTGCAAGGGGTAGGAGGCAAGGCAGGGCAAGGCAAGGCAAGGCCAGGCAGTCCGTCCTCTGCACCTTAGGAAGGGCCACAAAATAGCCACACAGAACAAAGTGCTGGAAAGAAACCAGGACATCCTTGGATTCCACGTGGCTCCAAAAAGCTTTTTGGGACGGGCGTACGTTGGGGTGTGCCTGTTGTCTTTTTTAAGTTGGCTGGTGCTTAGCACAAACCGGCCGCTGCAGGTCGGCCCAGTGCCCTCCACCCCAAATGCGGGCTTTTTACAAGAATGAACATTTCCCCTAGATATATGGTTTCAAACTTAATTTTAAAAACAAACACACACCTGAAGCCCGTATTATGTGCCAGCGTCGCCCGCGGGACTGAATGCTCTGGACCTGTCAGACAATCATGTTACTTTGCTGCAACAAAAAGGCAAAGGAGATATAAGACTCCTGCAAGGGAACTGCCCTTTCCACAACCCACCCAACACCCCAAAATGCCAACCCGTCATGTATTGGGAAGATTATTTTAAGTACACAATGCCAAGGAAGAACGTGCCAACCCTCTCCATAGGCTTTAAGGGCCTAAATACCTTAAAGGCACCCCCCTGATCTTGGAAGCAAAGCAGGATCAGTCCTGGTTAGCACTTGAATGGGAGGCCACATGGGGCTGTAGGCTCTATTTCAGAGGAAGGATCTGGCAAAAAACCCTCTAAGGCTTCCTTGCCTAAGAAAATCCCATGAGATTCATGGGGTGGCCATGAGTCAACAGGAGCCACGCATCCGCAGCCCATCTCCCCAAATGAAAAGCAGAACAGCCAGGATGTGTACAAAACAGAGTCTCTGGCGGGAAGCCTTCCACAACCATCATCCTGCAAAAGGCCTCCCCCCAGAATGTCCAATTTGGATTTGTTGCACTTGTCCTCTCTAGATGGCTGCCTTAAAAAGCCATTTGGGGATGGGGAAAGAGGGTTTCTTGGGGCATTTGGGCCAGAGCAATGCCCCCCATTGACCTGGGGTCTGTTGCTGTTGCATGGGGGTATGTTTGGGTTCTCATATGGGGACGGGTCCCTCTTGCACAGCCCTCACCATTTGCACACAGAAGTTGCACAACCCACACAAGGGGTTGTTTGCCAAATCCCCATTAACAGATCTCATTGCACAGCAGGTGACCAAGAAATCAGGACCCCTTTTCTAAAGATGTACCCAGGCCCATGTCAATGGGAAAGATGCCCACCCCCCCAATTCCTCTCCCCACTTCCCAAAATATAGTTTGCATTCACCTTTGAGAAAGTGATGCGCCCTTGGAGCAATTAAAGGGTTCCTTTTGTGCAACCAGATCTTTTGCCATTTTTGCCATAAGAACTTGTTCTATATATAATTCAAACAATCTGTTAAGAATTTTTTCTTTAAAACAAATGATGGTGATACGCAGATCATTATGAACAGAAGTTATACTGTTTCTTTTTTTCTCTTTTTTTTTTTGTAAAGCAAACACAAATGTTCTCAAACGTATGATTGTAATGTGCCATTTACATCTAACAAATGTTCCAACGGTACGGATACTTTGCCTATTTTCCAAATGATTTTTACTGCTAAATCGTGGGAATTGCGGGGCGTGAGAGGGAACTGGGTTTTGGTGCCAACCATGATATGCAACATGCATCCAGTGCATCCTAAAAGAAGATTGTTTCTGATATAGCCTTTTATTTTGAACAACAAGAGAGTTATTTAATGACCGGGAAGGCCCAAGAGAGACAGCAGATGATTTCCAAGAGGTGCCAGAAACATCGGGAACGACAGCAAAAGCCACGCCGACGCAACGCCCTTGTCCTCTGTTCTTTGCATTATTGGGGGAAGTGGCAGGGGAGAAAGTCTATTTTGTGACCTATTTGTGCGCAAAACCTGCTGCTCTGAGCCATTGCCTTTCCCAAAAAGTATGGACGACTTCCCGAAGGAGGGCCTGCATTTGAAAACCAAAGGTCCCTGTGAGCATGGATGCTTTGTGCCCCTGCCTCTTTTCCGGACATCCCCTCCTCACCCCACTACTCAACGCACAAAGACCCCTTCAGAGCTCCCTATTTGTGTGATTATGGGTCTGTAGCGTAGGTGGGATTAATAAAACAGCCCAAATATCCTCCCTTAGCACTCACAATCCCAGGCACAGGTACTAAAATGCCTTCTTTAAGCTATGTTTGAGGCAAGAATAGGAGCCTGGATGGTGTGGTGGTATGAACGTTGGACTGTGACACTGGAGACCAGGGTTCAAATCCCCACCTGGCCATGGAAACCCACTACAAGACCTTGGGCAAGTCATACTCTCTCAGCCTCAGAGGAAGGCCATGGCAAACAAGTCTTGCCAAGGAAACCCCATGATAGATTTGCCTCAGGGTGGGGGGCTGTAAGCCAGAAAGTACTTGAAGGCACACAGCCACAAAGAGACAAGACTGAAGCTGACCTGGCGAAGGATGCTGGGGTTCACTCCGAGGGAAGCTTGCCATAAACCACAAGCGATGTATGCTCAGAGGTCTCCCACGGATGCCTTCAATGGCTGGGTCCATTTTCTGCCTAATCCATGGCTACTCCAGGTGCGTCTCAATTTGCATTACCTGGCTGGAGAAAGCTAATCCCAGACAAAACAGCCAAGCCTTAGCAGTTCCCATAAAAACAGTTCCCCCTCTGCCTTACAGAAAAAACAAACTCCAAGTTGGCGTACTAGAGAGAACCACCACCCAATGCCCGTGTCCTGGGTGCGAAAGGAAACCCAGCCTGTGGTTCTTGTTCCCCAGCCCTCTCCTCTCCTCTCCTCTCCTTTTGGAAGACCTTTTCTCTCTCTTTGCCCTTCCAAGTGCCACAGAAGAGTCTCTTTCCATGCGCCCGTCTCTGCTGCCTGGCGTGCCGTTTGTTCGGAAACCACATCTGCCACATCTGTTTCCACGCAAAGTGAGCCTCCAGCATGGAGTCCCAGGCCCAAGCGCTCCTTGCCTTGCAAGAAAGGAAAACGGGGCAAAAAAGGGGACTTTTCCTCTGAGCTAAAGTCAAGAAAGACGGACATCATCTTAATCTATCTAGAAGGACCTTTTTTTCCCCAGGGCCACCAAAACAAGGACTCTCCCAAGTCAAGCTGTATATGTTCCACGTTTTGGCACCCGGTCGGTGTCCGACTCCATGTCTTGGGTCCCCCCTCATCTGCATCACTGTGTCTTAAAACTATATCTATAAATATATCTATATATAAATACCTCCCTCTCTCTCTTTATCTCTCTGTATATCTGCTCTGGCCAATCTTTGTTCCTGTTACAGCAGTTTAAAAAAGAAAAACATGTTTTATACCCCTCTTATAAAGGAAAAAAAAAACATCAACCAAGCAAAAAATGAAATAATTTTTTTGTAATTATGTTTAAAACAATAACGGTAATAACGATATTATTATTATTATTAATATGAAGCTGTGTGGCAAGACTCTTTGAATCTCCTTCAGCCTCTTTTAAAACAAAAACAAAAAAAACCAATGTAATAATGTACAGAGAAACTAGTCGGTGTCGAAATGGGGGGAAAAAAACTTATGTGGCTGTGCAATTTATGTACATTTGCAATTAGAAAAATATTAAAGATTTATTTAGCTATTTTATTCCTGTTTCTCTCTGTGGGACAGATAGGAAAGGCCTCCTGCGGTCAATGGGAGGAAAGTCTTGGCTGGCATTTTGCTTGGGACCTATGGCTTCACAAATGGCCCAAATGCACAAAACTAAAGCGAATATTGTCATGCAATCCATAAAACATTCGGGGGTAGCTGTGGCAGCCATTTAACAAATTCAAACAAAAATCCATCACTGATACCAAACAAAATGCAGAATATACGTTGCAAGCTTTCGAAGCTCCATCGGCTTCTTCTTCATCAAGCAACATCTTTCCTGATGAAGAAGCCGCCACCGATGGAGCTTCAAAAGCTTGCAACAAGTATAATATTCTGCATTTTGGTTAGCCAATAAAAAAGTATTGTTCAAGCCATCCATATTCACCTCGGGGCTTTTGTGACATTACAACACGCGGGCATCAATGGCGCAATGGTGGAGCGACTGATGCGCAATGGACACAGATGTCCATCCAGACGCTGGCCATGAAGACCAGAAGTGCCCAGTGTGCGTCAATGCAAAATCAGTGTGATCCAGACATCATATATATTGACTTACTTGCAAACTTCTATGAAAACCCTACAGATAGGATCCTTTTGATGCACTTCATCAGCGGTGCAGCAATCTGTTGCTCTCCTAGATGATGTAGAAATTCGCACCCAGCCCTTTCTTCATGTCTGGAGCTGCACTTGCTCATCCGGCCCCCCCC